TTAGCTAATTTACTAGAAATAAACCAACTGATCAAGTTAATTGTAGAAATAATTAAAATTAATTACGGCTTACTTACTTAAATAACATATATATATATATATATATATATATATATATATATAACTTTTAATGTTTTTTTTTAACAACTGCGAGTGACTGCGATGTTGTTTTAATCTAATAGAAGTCCTCGTAGGACTAGACAAGATATTTGGTATACATATATTTAAACATTTCATACAACTTTCTATGGCGTTCTTTAAGCGATTAGTAAAATCTTTTACGATTTGTTTTCATTTTTATATTAATTAGTCAAAAGTCATATAAACACAAACGTTACGTCAGTTATGATAAATTAAAACATTTTTTATTTTTTTGCAACATATTTCAAGTATGGCAAATAGGTACACATACTACATGACTAATAAAATCAACCAAGACCGCAACTTCGTAGCAAATATAAAAATTTAATAATACATAATAATAAACCAATCACGCACTACCCCGGACGGAGGCAGGCAAACGCGTTTACCCACAAAATGGATTTGCTTAGGACAAAATTGAGTTATTATACAGTTTTGTTAAATGGTCATTCTGCCCTGTAAATTCCATCCTATAAAGCTCCATAAACTGCTGACGTCCCCTTGGACAAAAAAACTTGACAGCCGTAATGGGTTTATTGTCCGTCCCACGTGTACCAGCCGTCGTGGGAGGGATCAATACTATAGGTTGATAAATCCTCAAGCTCAATTTATTTTTACTGACAATATTTTTTAGTAACCGACACATCGGTGAACACGATTTGGCCGTCAAGACGGACCGGTAAAAGAATAATAAACGAATTGGCCTGCAAAGCACGAAGAGACAAACAAAATGGCTATTTCAACGTATAACATAGTTCAACAGACTAAAACGGCCCCTACACGCACCATAATACAGTTTGCACAACATGATTGATGGTCTAGAATAGATATGCAAGGACTGTGCAATAATGTACCAACACAGTGTTTGATTTCTTCAGTAAATTTGCATAATATTTTGTATTAAATCAATACGATCACAGATAGCTAAAACCAGACAAACTGACAACTGAAACCCTCCTCAATTTAGTGTGACCACATTCTAGAAATGAAATCATTGTAATGATAACACTTTACCACGGAATAATGAGATCAGAAAGGACAGTTTCAATATAAACAAAAACGTGGCGGCCATGTTCTAAAACTGCTATAATCATACATTATACATTATAAATTCAGTGATGTTCAGTTCTGAAACTGTAATTACTCATAAAGAATTTTTTTTCTTACCAGTGGTTACTCTGAGTTAAGGAGGGTTTTGGTTTGTTTGTATTTACAGCAATTAAATACATTGCTTCAATAGGGAGTGCACTAGCTGGTCTTATCTGATCGCGATAATATTGTTCGTATAGGGGCCGCTCAGATGATCTATTCCAAGTGATCAAGCAATAATTTGTTACTAACTTTCTAAACGAACATCTAAGGAATATTCCTGCCCTATGTAAGATGTCTTATAATGGGTACAAGCTACTCGTGGACGCGTTATCGTCTAATACATTCCATACAATCGCTTTCTAATAGTATTTTTTAATCTCATGTCATAACATGACATAATGTACAATCATTATTCATTGATCATACCGAACAACGTGCATCTAAGATAGAGCCCAAGGGCCAAGAGTGGCATGACGGTGATGTGTTAAGTGAACGCCCGCTACACTGAATCGCACGTTATCAGGTTTAATAAGTTGCTTTAACTAAAAACTAATATTAGATATAAATTTAAATAATTGGCCAACGATTTGACATACATATCACAGGAAGATCGGCTTGAGTAGTTATAGGGAGATGTGTCTCTTGCCAAAACATGAGTGCAGAACGTCAAATATGAGTCTTCGAATAACGTTTAAAATGGTGGAATTTTTACTTTCTTATGTCAAATTATATCGCATGTAAATTGTAACTCGGCGGCGTGATAAATATTGACAGATAATTTAAGACTTAACAAACAAATATTATCAAGAGTAGTAATAAAACCCCCAAAAAATATTACAATAGGGGAATTCGCACGGGGGGTTGTGTTTTTTGAAACTACTGTCCTAAAGACTTGGCGTTTTGAATTCAGACGCATCTAGGGTAGACTACATGGGCGCAATTTGTGAAAGGTTAGTTGTACTTAGCACCCAGGTTATTTTTTACTGAAGGGGCGGGCGCTGAATAAAAAACGCTGCCAACGAATCTATGTATTCCATAAGGTTTTATCTCAGACAGTGATAACACTTAATTTTTTTTTTCGGTGTTATCAATTGTGCAACCGCATTTATGTAACGACTAACGATGACGGTTGCAATGACTAAATGCGCGTTTTATGACCGGCGCAGTCGTTCACCTTTACCGTGTAACGATTCGAGTTTTGTAATTTTTTTTTTTACCAATTTTGACACTAATTGGCAAAACTGTTATATTAGCGCACTTCGAAACCGTTTCTGGGCCAAAAGCCTTGCAGTGACCATAAGGGTTTCAGTGTAGCTGTTCATGACGATAAACGACAACAGAAATAATAATATATTGTTATTGATGACACGTGTAAAACATAACGCAACTCGCAAGTCAAGTAGGTACTCGATACTCGGTTGTGTGTAATAATACAAAACAAAAAAAAATAAACCCTGAACGATTATTTAACGACGTTGTTTTTTACAACAACAACAATAATAATAATAATTAAAACTGAAATGAAAATACCAGAGAGGTGTCACGGATGCCTGCGTCAACACTATATAATGATATAATTTAGTGGTTTTTTTTTTTTTATAAAAAAAATGCAACAATTATATTTTTTATTGTTAAATTACATACCAAGCCATAGTAGATTTTGTTGGAAAAACGTGCGACACGTGTGGTACGTCAACCGATACCAGTTACAGGTTAAACTTTTCCTATAGCGGTCAAAACAGGCTGGATGTCTGTTAAATTCCCATTTTCTATCTGGGGGGGGGGGGATTGATTTTCTCACTTTACTCGTTAATCGGCCTACGGATTGAGAAAAAACTAAATCAAAACAAATTCAACAGGTTTCCACTGCCGTCGAATCGAATTAACGTGCGCGATCGTTCGGTACAATAATACAGGGTGATCCTTCTGATGTACGACATTTATTTTTGGCGACAGCGTTATCGACAGAGGACATTATTTTAATGACAAATTTATACAATCATTTGGTAAAAAGATCATTTCGATAAAAAGGAAAGATCTCGGATTTTACTTTTGTTCTATTTAGACAAATTTTTGTTTTTAAATTAAATATGTACTCTTTTTTTTTTTTTTTTTTATGGACTCCATTCGGTGGTGTGTCGAAAAAATAAAGTTTCACAAAACAAACATCGTTACTACATATAAATTCAGTGATTCAAGGGAAAATACCCAGTCCGTAAACCTAACAAAGGGCCTAATAAAATAATTCCTCAGTGGCGCGCAACCGTTTTCGTATTTTATTCAAAGAAGAGGTTAAAGTATGACCTGAATTATAATAATTAGCTAAGCGGTTCCTTGGAAATACTTATTGCTTTTGGTTTCACTTTATCGGCTTTGACGAACAGAAATTGATTTTACAACAGTAATTTTTAACTGTGTACTTTATGGAGCTCATTTATGGAAATTCTCCGTTCAACCTCGTCCAGATTTAAATAGTCAACATTTTTCTAACCATATGACCATATCGACGTGCCCTACAAATACTGACGTAACTAGCTTTTTTTAAAAAAAAAGAACATTATCTTTTTTTAAACTGATAACGCGCGTCTTCTATATTACCTGCGAATAAGGTCGTATCGACCAAAGAAGTTCCGGATAACACAACACAATCGAGTTGCTGTCTTTTTCATCGGTAATACAGAAAACGCGTGTTATCAGCTTAAAAGTTTTTCAAAGTGAGTTACGTCAGTATTCGTAGGGCGCCTCAAATGATGTGCTTAAAATGCTGTTTGAATTTACCCAATTCTAACACCACACATTCTAGTACTACCGTTTTGTCACTTTTCTCTTACTGCACAATTTTCAATGCGTTATATTTTTAAAAAATTCCTAATAAGGCCGTTTTGCAGCGGCTATTAATATTTTTATTTTCTATAGATTGTGGTGAAAAAAAAGTAGCGGTTTAACACAGTAATGTATATATTATTGTTAAAGTTTCATCGCCATCAGTTCAGCATCCGGCTGAATGAAGAGGCTGGGCACCGACGGTAATTGATTTAAATTTATGCATTGAATTAATAATCGTAATTGCCTTTTTTCCCCTAAGTAAATAACTTCGAAACAAAATATATTTCCATTATGTATAAACATTGAGAGCTAATGACCCTTGTCGGGTTGCGGCGCGCGGTTCAACGTTAATAATAACAGCATACAATGTATATTTAATGGAAACTCCGTTAAAATTGTTATATATTAATAATGATAAAATTAAAAAATCAATAATAATGTTATAGTTTTTTATAAGATACATATTATATACTTAAAAAAAAATATATATATATTCTAAATATTTTTACATTAAGACATAGTAATCGAATAATAATTGTACAATATAAACAACTCGCGAAACCTGTAAATATCAACAATGAACGACCTACAAAACAATATTATTACTATTCATTAAAAATTACCCGACAATCAAAACAAAAACATTTTACCCTATATAATTCTAGTTGACGTGCATAAAGTGCACGGCAAACGATAATATTGGAACCAATTATTTATTGGTATACCAGATACCGGAGGAATCGGTCCTTTTACATAGACCGATTTTTACAATTTTGGACCATTTTTTAAACGTCTCCCTTTCAGCTCTAAAAGTCTTTATGAACAACTTTTTGATTGAATTCATATTTACACGCCTTGCGGTTACTCCCATTTGGATATCTTAACTGGTTCGCCAACGTTTCGAAACACTTGCATGTTCTATACTGCAGTCTACGGGAGAACGCGGTACGAACAACATCGAACCAGAGCCCTGAAGATGGAGCATGCAAGTTTTTCGAAACGTTGGCGAACCAGTCAAGATATCCAAATGGGAGTAACCGCAAGGCGTGTAAACAGTGTAAAATGTAAATATAATACCCCATTCAAGTTTTAATAATGAATTAATATTTTTCGAGGAAAATCGATTAGTATTTTAAAATGGGTCACCCGGTATATCGTTACCAGTTTTGAACTCGTTAGTATTTAGGCCAAAGGGTGATGCGTAATAAATAATTATTCTAATGACAACAGATTTTCATTAACACGTTATGTTAAATTTATAAAAAGTTTACAACTAGAAATAGTTGTTTAACGATTTTTTTGACAAATAACTGACTCATAATAAATTTACTTGTATAAATTATATCGGTTCGGTTTTGCTTGTACAGGGACGCCAAAAACATAGATCCGGATACAGCAGACCATCCAGCGGCTCGGTCGACATCTCGGTGTGGGTAATCACAGTGTTTCTTAATATTATGTACATTTATAACACACTAGGACAGGGACGTGAGATATTATCTGGATTTCGGGGAGCATTTATCAAATAAAGTTATTATTGGATTTAGCCATTTCCATAATAATAAAACCAACGCCCATACGCAATACACAATAGCGGGCTTACGAATAAATAATGAGCCGATGCACAGCGACGTTTTCATGCTCGAATGTGTGACATGTTTTATCATAAATAATTTATAAAGATAGGTACACGTATTATACGATAATAAGACGTACGTCTAACGCATTAATCTCTTTCGAATTTCCGTACCACGCCATTTATCCTTAACACAAATGTATAACCGTTTTGGGTGTATCAGAGTAGTATCGTTTGGAATCACTTAAGCTGATTGAGTCGCGTTTTTGTCAAATAGACTTGGGTCGCATTTCACTCAGGTGCAATAATTAATTGCCCTATAAAAGATAATATTGTTATCATACAGCGACATACCCGAGTTTTGAACCTGTGGTTGGAACGTTTATATTTCATTCAGCATTCGCGCATCGTAACTTCCAACTAATCAGATTAACCGTGGTCAAATTTACCATGATCGTATGGTTAAAATATTCATTACAGTAAAATATGCGATTATTATTAAACTTAATGGGGTGGCAGTGGAAACGAACCGTGGTCAACCCCAGTCGTGACGCGGTTAAAAACAATCCGGTGGGAGAAATTTACTTACGAATATGTTAATTTAAAAACATATATATATGTTTAGTCAAGTTTAATGCATAGAATACACAAGTAATATACAAATTGCTTAACCTAACCCAACCCGTATGACTAATATTTGAACAACCGTTAAAATATTATATAAAATAATCAAAATTCAAATGTATATATTGCCACTATTATACAAAGTAGCTTAACATAATACATTAAACCGGCTCTTTAAACTTTTCTCTATTTGCCTTTATGAATTAATCTATTAATAAAATTTATTATAAACTTTAATATTCTATTTAACAGTTGTATAAATCAGGCTAAGTAGAAAATAAATATAAAAAAACCACAGATATTTTATTAATCCACTCTCTGGAGTTGCTTTGTGTTTTTTAAAAATGCCGGGGTTGAAATTTGAAACGTGCTTCTGTATTTCAGCTATGATGGTAAAAATTAAACATTTGTGACGGTTGCCCTTAAAAAAAAATCGGTATTCTTTTTCAATCAAGTGGTTCCTAGCAGGGGCTCCATTAGACCGACCCCATGGCGCTACATTATTTCATAATGAGCCACAGAAGATAAACACATTTTTTTTTATTTCTTTGATGCATTTTAATATATATTTGGTATACTTTTGGTTTTTCTTTAATAAAAAAAACGGTCTGATAAATGATTGTTGAGAAAATTGTATGTTATAGTCCTAAAGGTTTTTGGTAAAATGGTAAAAAGTAAATAATTAGCTATAGTATTATTCATTTTTAAGCATGTTACTCAGAGGTAAGGTCACCGTTTTATGTTAAATTTTTTGTTGTAAGTATTATAATATGCCAATGTAGTCAATATAATTGTACGAGTACAGTATGATTTGTTTTGAATGAAAATTACATATCGGTTATTCCGTTTATAAAAATAAATACAAGAGCAGTACCTAGTTACTTGATAACATAGGCAAACACAAATGCACGAGCAACGTCAGATAATAATGTTATGTTAATGTCATCAAATATTGTTTTTTTGGTGACTTACAAATATCATCGACATGACGTATATTTTAGATTTAGAAAAAAGGAAGTGATACTTTAAAATGGACCAATGCCTTCCACAGATAGGTGTTTTTTTTTTTAACATAAGTATTTTATACAATGTATTGTTATCGGAGTATAGACATTAGTCATTATTAAGCTAGGGCCGTTACAAGTTATTTTAAGTAAAAACATTTAGGAGGCATTTATTAATTTCACAGGAAGCCCCCCCCCCCTAAGATATAATTTGCCTTATGGTTCAAAATGTCTGAATCAAATCCTGATCGCAAATGATTGACCATAACACGCTAAAGAAAATACACAAATGTACTCTGTAAAACATGTATTTTGTATTTAAATAAATTGTATTTAAATAAATACAAAATGTTTTATTCATAATATAAAAGTGTTCTACCGCGTCTACGTTTAATAGCCGCATATTAAGTGGCGTTTACCCGCGCAATACCTAATATTGTTAAAGCAATAACATTAAATCGTTATTACTGTTATCGTGTAATACATTACCAATTTGATCGATTCGATATCTAATTCGGATGGTCAAAAATAATATGTAATTGTACAATATAAATTTTGCGCAATACTATTATTATGATTGATTTATCATGGATTAACCGCACATGACGTTTATAATAAGCGGTCTGTGTACAATAAATAGTCTACGAATATTGTACATGATAATAGTAATAAATATTGGATGATGATGAAATTTAAACTATTAATAATTATTAAAAACGATAAAAAATATTGCACAACATTAATTAATCGCCTGGAATAGAATAAAGGTAATATCGAAGCAATGCACAATATAAAATTATTTATATTGAACAAATCAAACATAAGTGAATTTTTATTACACAATGATCTTACATGTTTGGGATATGATATTGTGAAATATAAATTTAGTACACGGTCTTTGATCATCAAGACGTCTTACATGCGGCAGTGACAGCTGTGCTCTTATTTTGTACGTGCACGTGCCCTTTAGGGCAGTAATGGTATAAGACGGTTTTGGTATAACACAATATCATAATATTCTACCGAACAATGATAAATAATATTTGTTTCCTTAGTACTTATGCATTTGTGTTATTTAAACAATTTACAGACGGTATTATCTTTAATTGACTGTTGATCAATGCTCTTTACACGGGTTTACTCGAGCGTTTATACATTCAATGATGTTGAGACAATGCAATTAAAATAGGTAGTAACTACTCAATAAATACAGTTATTTGTAGGTATTTGTTTGAACCTTTATTTACACTTACAAAAACGTACACAGCTCATCAGTTTTTAACCCGATAACTCGGTGTGTAACCAAATCCGCTGATAATAACTTTAAACACATTTCCACCAATCATAATTATTCGGATCACAAATGTGTTTTGATCATAACACGCTAAGCAAACGTAGGTACAAATGTATTGTGTAAAAATTATATTTTCTATTTAAATAAAAACAAAACGTTTCGCAGCATATCGCAGTGATCTGCTGACGATATTCAATAACTGCATAGGTGGTCTATTAAGTGGCGTTAATAATATAATATTTAACCGAACAATGATAAATAGCATTTATTTACTTAGTACTAATGATGAATTTGTATCAAACCTATTTTCTAAATTTATTTACAGTCAATATTATTGACACGGTATTTTCGATTTACCGTTGACAATGCTTTTTGCATTTTTTAAGTAGGTACAAATAATTTTTGTTATTTATTTTAACTTTAAGCATACACACACATAAATGGTTTGTTTTTGTCTCGTTACACAACAGGCTGTACGCGCACTGTTAGGATTTGTTCAATACTATTATTGATTTATTTTTTTAGATTATATTGCGTTTATAATTTTTATCATATTATTCAATATTCGATGTTGGTATTGGATTAGGAGTTATGACCATACGATAGATAACACGTTATTAATATTATGTCGTTTACAGTTTACACGAGTCACTGAGAACGATTATTTTGAACAAATAATCGAAAATGAACCAAATTTGGGCTTGACCAACTTTTCCAATTATTTATTCCGGATGAACACTTCTGTGATCTGTCGCTTTTGATATTTCCACAGTTAATACAAATATTTTTAGTTTTTTGTTTTAACCTTTGGTTAGGTACGCATACACAAACTTACACATTTTCGTTGTAATTTTTACCTCACTACACAACAGCTTAGTGGGCGTCTAACAAATAAATTGGTTCATACGTTTGCTAGGCTGCTCTAGTTGCCAAATAACCTAACCTTTTAAGATATTGTGTAGCACATACATGATGTGATGGGAATAGGAGAATCTAAAATTGGTAGCTGCTTGGTGCTTCTCGGTAAGTTAAATCTATAATACTATCATCACAATTATTGTTCACCATGCTATTGTAATTACAAATTAATGTATTTCAACCGTGTTACAAAAAACATTATTCACGTGTGATTCGATATTATTGAGCAGGCCAATTGTGTATAGTAGTAATAACAATTATGTACTTATAAGTACCGAACAAAACAGCCGGTTCGGGTGTTTATTTTAGACTATCATAATTTCTGAACTAGGAGTGTATACACTATAATTAAGTTAACGCACAGAGCTAATTACAAAAGAAGACATTGCAAAATTCTACATTTCATAATAAGTTGAGCATTTTTGAAGTTATGAAATTCATCCCATTAAATGGGATAGTGATTTGTTGCATACCCGGGGCGGCGTTGGTGTAGATGGAAAATAACAGTTTAGTCATGAAGGTCATTGATATAAAGAATAGTTAGAAAATCATTTTTATTAATTGAATGCAAGCCCTAACCTTTCATGATACTCCTACAAAGATTATTGTAAAAAATTTAAGCGGTCCTAATATAATTTATTCTTTGTAGAAAAAAAAATTTGTATTTAAAAATATTTAACTATAGGACGTATTATCTTCACATTTCATAAATAACATCATAATTGATTTTATAAATTACTTAATGAAAACGTATAGTGTAGATGCATTACTTATCTATAGGAATCTAATACATTTCAAACATTGAAACATATAAAGTAAATGATTAATGAACTATCTGCTTTAAAAAAAACATATGTCTATGACCTATATATTATTGCTTTGTATAATAAATAACATTGATTCAACGAAACTATTATTAAATTTATTATGAAGCTTTATTTAAAAAAAATGATTAAAAATAATAAATACAATATACTAGTTGTAAGTATAATTAGAAAAATAATAAAGGTGGC